CTCGACTGGCTCAAGAGAAAAATCATAAAAATTTTTGAGCCCGTTCGAGTGCTCAGGAACGCAAGTTGTGTGATTCGGGACTTTCAATTTTTGTTAATTCAAGGGAGTGAAGGTCCGTGTTGGGATCCGCTCATCGCCTAGCCACAGGCGGTTCCTCGCTGTCTGAGTCGTCTTGAGACGACATTTGTCAATCGAGGATGAAGAGCGAGGAGTAGGATCGGGGAAAAGAGTGCACGTTACGAAAGATAGCTCTGCAGCTGACGTCCGCGGCGAACGCATTTATCAAAGCGTCATGTAATCGTGATGTCAGCGGCACTTCTCCGCGACGCGATCAATGTCATCGATGTGGGGTGACGATTATCCTGGGTCCACCGCCACGCGAGCGAACAGAAAATGGACGCAATCGCTAATCTATCACCAGAATAAATGACTCGAATGGCGACCCCACCGAAAATTCTTAACTTTCTGCATCGACAGTCGGGGTAATTACTACAAGGGCCGGTGGCTGATTGGGATCTATCGAAAGCTCCCGGATAATTGATTTCAGTCTCGCCCGGAGGATCCTCGAAAGAGACTCCGTGATCTGGGAATGGCGGCCCCGGGTATAAGAAGCAGAAGACGAGAGTTTCACCCTAGAATCCCTCGAGACGGACGTCACACGAAGGGGAAAGACGTAAAACACTCAAGAGATCCTTGCTAGAAATTGTTGCCCTTGAGCGAGTGAGTCATCAGAGGTCGTCCGCAGTTCTTCTGTTTTCAGGCCTTCAACGGAGATAACGGAGCCGTCTACTTGGCTGGCTTCCAGAGACATCCGTTATGTATTGTGATGAAAAAATTGCGGTGGAAATGCTGAAGGAACAGAAAAGGAATATAATAATCTTACCGCCTCTTTTCTAGGGGGGATCTTCCTTACAAATCGATCCACGCTCGTTATTGTTGAGCAGAAATATCCGAAGGAGCAACTGATGATCTCTGGGATGATTCTCAGATTCTTCTGGATGGGAATGAATCGCAAACCGCAGCGGCGCTTGTATGTATAACAAAGCCAGCCCAGTTCAGAAGGAGGGAAGGATCTAGCAATCTATTGAACATTTTATACTCTGAACGATAAGGAAAGCGACACCGCATTCGTTCTCGGGACCCAATCGTCTCGCGTGTGACGACTTCATGGAAGCGAGCGGGGTTTATGATGAGAGTTTTTTCCTTTTCTTCGGTAGCTGATTAATACTCAATGATACACGAACGTTTTCGTGATTATAGACAATGGAGAACAGATCTTACCGGTACGTTTCGGGGGAATTATGGTCGCCGTTGCCCCCACCGAATCCCTCGGTCGATAATGATAAGTAAAACATCCGTAATAATAGCTTTTTCAACACATTATGTCGATACTGTCTATGCTTGATGCTTATGATGTCGTCGTCGATGATCGCTATGATTATGTCGATCACGGAAAATTGAGCGAACAATTCGCCATCCGAAATTGCTTCTACCACCGGGCCGAGAAGAAAAATGACCTGCCCCGGGCGGGAGCATGTGCAGGAACCGAGCGAAACAGAAATTTGCCCCCCGTAAACTTCGGTCACTGCTGCAAGCGGGTGTGGCAGATCACCGTAGCGGTCCCCAGAGTTGTCACTATTCGTTTCTAAACAGGAAACTCAGCATAAGAGCGCAACACGTGAGCCAGCCTGCGAGCAAATAGACGGACAGACAAACCGACCGACCGACCGCTCCATATACTGGAACGCAGTGGAACGTGATAAATGAATGAATTCTTGAAAAGCGCGTGACCGAAAGCGCGACTGATGCCCCGAGCTTTGCTGCTCCGAGAAATTAGTCGTAGGTACCACCAGAATGAAGGTGAGGTAAGCGGGCGAGCAACACTGCACACTGAAGACCTCCGACGCTCGTTCTGACCCCAGATAGCAAGGACGAGCGGATGCTTGCTCGGGGAGCGTCAAGCAATTTAATCGTCACCAAACAATGCGAAGCACGTCCCCAGTCGTACCGGTTGATTCTCAGTGTCGGTCACCGCCGTCTTCCCTGACTACTGACCCGCCCGCCCGCCTGCCTTTCCGTCCAATGGACCGGTCATCCTAGCGGTCGAGCAATTTCAGTCAATTAAAGCCCTCAAAACATTCGTTCCTCTTTTTTTGATGTAATGGTATTCTTCCGAGAATGAAGCCCCCAACAAGCAAGTCGCTCTTTCAGTTACTCCTTGGAACTTTGCCTTGAGACGAGAATCTTTTCCTCGCGAATGTCCAGAATTCCAAATCACCGACCGAGAATTTGGAACTTCCCGAGCGGAGCCCCTGAATGCAAAGTGACGTCTTGCTTTCGTCTGGTCAGCACTTTTAGATTCCAGTTTGAACTTCATACAACAAAACGGAGGCGGAGAGCGAAAGTTCGCTTAGCGAAATTGATTCCATCTAGAGCGTTGTGTAAACAAGACGATTAGATGCTTCCCTTCTCGGAGCAGGATATTATGATAGGTCGCGTAGTTTTCCCGCGTCAGCAGATTCATGCGGAGAATTTTTAGCAGCTCAAGAGCTCTTATGACAACTTTGCAGGCCCCCCGACAGGTTCCTTGGAAAATATCTATACGTGATGATACAGATGACCGTATGCGATAGTGATGCTTAGTTAGGGATATCATTATCATTCACTATGATATACTATCTGGGCTCTTGGCGAATCACACGCGTATATATGAACGACAAGAGAACGGTGGATCTCTTAGCGCCCCGGAGGGTTGGGCTTGAGATATGCAGAAGAGCTTCTTGAATTGAATGATGGAACTGCCTTGAACCTCATTTATCGGTCGGGAGCTGATACGGTCCATTCTCATTCGCTGCTTATCGTTGGGGGAGTCCAGTCGTCCATGGACTGATTGTATTCGTCTTCAAATTTTCATTCTACACTGCGAGGGTTGATATGATAGGCACCGACGGGAATTCGGATTCGACTAGTACGATGTCTGACTGCGAGGAAGAGGTCAATGCCTGAACGAGAGTCAAACGTCATCGCAGAAACAAATCTCCTCGCTCCAGAGTCTTATCCCCAGCCTGCCCTGATTCGCCTTTGCCATCTCTCGCCATCCTGAGTATGGAGCTGACGTGAAAGGGTTGATTCATCTCAATCCAGGGCCTCGACGACTTGAATTGCTTGAGAGCTCCAAAAACATCTGTTCTCAATCTTCCGAATGTTCGACCGCGACCAAACTCTGAGCTACTCAACCCGAGAACGTCGATACACTCGGTGATCTGATCTCCGGATTCCCCTCCTCCTGGGCGTGTTGACCTGGCGACTAGATCAGCCAACAAAACAAAGTTCCGGACTTCAGGATGGAGCGCAGTTTTTACTTTCAGAGCAATATCCCGTCTTCGAAGATCAGCCAAAATCCAAACAACAACAGCAGAAGCGGTTTCTCGAGAGATAGCTCGAGGCCCGACCCTGGACGGTCGATGTTTCCCATTTTCAGCGAGCCAGAAGAAATCGGGGAAATTGCCGAATCGGATATCACGCACTTGGCGCTTCTCTGATCGTTATTGAATATCAGATCAGATATGCATTGAATTGGAAGCTGAAAATCTCTTGTTGCGTGTACACTTGTTGGTAGGGAATTAAATCGGTGGATTCGTGTACGCTTTCTAGAATGATTCTCGCGGCACGGGTACAGATAAAGCCTTCCGTGAGCTCTTCTTTAATCTCCCTTCACGTCTCTTATGAAGAATTTATCGATGACGCCGACTTCGCGCAGTCCGAAGTTGCTGAATAGATCTCACGCCTACGAAGGGTATCGATAAACCAAGCGACATCAGAATAAGGACAAACACTCGAAACCATAAGTAGATTTGATTGACCGAACGATAGTTTTGATTCAACGGACGATACTATTCGCGTCCTGAATCCTGACTAAGCGGCGAAAAATGATTCTTATCGATAGAATTATAGAGCTGGATAACATAGAAGCCAATAAGGTCAATATCGGTAATTCCCACTGGTTATCGCAGCCAGTCAATACTTTCCGAGTTTTTTTCGTTTCTCTTCACGTGGTCTGCGATTTTCCTCGAGAGCGCTGAAAAAGGACTCGATTCGAGCATCTCAGTCGTTCGAGTGAGAAACAACAAGACGGGATCGGATGTCTTGCCGAATATCTCAGAAGTTCGAAACTAATTGGGTCACAGCTGTGCAAGGATGAACTGGACGGAGGATGGGAGCACACGACGCCGACTGGCCATTTATGTCAACGAGCCGTTGCCCGTGTGACTAACGTCGTTAGATACAAAGACGACTTTAAGTTCAGCAACAGTAGTTGACAACGACGACGGCAACAGTGGCATTATTCAAAAGCCCAGAATCAGGAGGCCAGTGGCAGCCATTGTGTGATTCCGACAACCAGATTGACCCCTGCAGTATGAGCGTCCACTATCACCGCCGCCGCCACCGCCGCCGCCGCCCCATCATCCACCGAAATGCCTTTTATCAATGGCTGGTCATTCCACTTCTGCTCGTTGTTCGCTTTCCCTCCATGGATCGGTAGAACTGTCAAATAGGAACGAATCCCACCACTACAAAGAGCACGCAGACATTTTCGTGTATTCGACACAACGTGCAGTACTCGTTGATCGCGATGGACTTCGAGTTGACCTCACACTGCCATCGTGCCAACAGTCATGAAGCGCCTCCATCGATGAGGAGCGAATGATTTCATGACGCACGATTTCGCTCGGACCGTGCCTCAGAAAATTTTTCCGTCGCAAAGCGAACGAACAAACAAAAAGACGGGCGGTCGGTCGGATTGGCGGGCGGGCGGTTGGACAGATGTACGAACCGACAGTCATGTGGACAGATCGGAGGCAAGGAGGGACAACACAACCGTAACTAGAGTCAAAGCAGAGTAACCCTCCCCGGCGCCCTTGGTCTTGGCCCTTGGTTGGCCTGCGCGGGCAGCTGCAACCAGTACAAAAAGGCAGCGCACGCAGTGAGCACACAGTGTACCACAACATCGTTCTCAAGTCGTCGAAGTGAAGTGTTCGGAACAACAGCGACAACAACGTCAAAGATGCGCGCTTTCGCAGTTGTGCTCGGAGCTGGAATTGTTGGGCTTTCGGCGGCCGGTGGTCTCAGTGGTGGATATTCTGGTGGCTACGGCGACTTCGGAGGTCTCGACTACGGAGCCAGTTTCGGAAGCCACGGTCACTCGTATGGAGCTGGACTCGACTACCACCACGCTCCGAAGGTGAACTACGTGGTGAACAAGGTTGCCAAACCCTACCCCGTTCCTCACCCCGTGCCAGTTCCCCACGTGGTTTCTGTCCACAAGCCATACCCCGTGTACAAATCCGTGCCAGTTCCCAAGCCGGTGGCCGTTCCTCACATAGTCAACCAGTACTACCAAGTCCACAAAGAGGTTCCCGTGCCCAAGGAGGTTCCTGTCCCGTACACCGTCGAAGTCAAGAAACCCTACCCTGTTCACCACGTGGTCAAGGTACCCAAGCCCTACGTCGTCCACGTCCCCAAGCCCTACGTTGTCGAACAGCCCTACAAAGTCCCCGTTGAGGTCAAGATCCCCCAGCCGTACACCGTCAACGTACACAAGCCCTACCCCGTCCCGGTGAAGAAGGCCTACCCCTATGAGGTCCAGATCGTCAAGGAGATCCCCTATGCGATCAAGAAGCCCATCGCTATCCCCGTCCACTCCCACGGATGGCACAAGGCCTAAGCAGGTGCAACGCAAACGCATACCCAAAGACACAGTGTACAATACCAGTGTATATATTGTTGATATACCGCAATCAAGAAACGGAGGAAACCGAGTTGCCAAATTTAAATAAATACGTAATGCTCTCCTCAAACGACGCCGCGTCTTTTGAGCTCCCTCGCGAGAGTCTGAGACTAAGATGGTTATGAAGCCCATTCGGAGTTCAAACTCGCTGAATCGAGACCGGCGGGATGGTCGAGTTGCCAGCGCCCCTGCTTAACGGTAGACTGGGAAAGCTCTTCCCTTATGCAGAACGGCGCTCTTACGTCTTGACCTCACTCCGTGGGCTCAGCCGGGAAGTCGCATTTCCGATTCTAGAAATGTTCGACTCGAGTTTGACGAACGTCCGTATTTTCGATGCCAGAGATCGAAACTAGGGACCTCATGGCGATGCTCAAGAGTTTCCATTACTCGAGACTCGGCGTAAGCATCGCCGGTCGTGTGAGAGCATCGGAAGAGGAGTGAACGCACTCCTCTTCGCGCGCTGAGTTTCATTGATACCGCGCAGAGCCTCTCCGATGGGAAAGTTTATCACTCGAGGAATTACTGATAAGTGGGGATGTAATTTTTTTGCGGACCCCCATTTTTCCGCGAACATTCGCGGAAATTTCCGGCTACTCCCCATAGAGTTTCAATGGAGGCCGCGAATTGCCGAGAATTTGGCGGATATTTCCGCGAAAAATTCACATCCCTACTGATGAGCACGGATAATCCAACAATTTATCCCTTATTCGAAACTCGGTACTTGGCACAGAGTTTTTCTGTATTCCACTCCAGTCGAGATCTTTCTCCGTTTCTCTGACTGGAGCTCTCAACTGGAACTTCCGTGTCGATCCGAGAAAGGTGGAGAATCCTATCGGCTCGAGCGCGTTCGCAGACAGAAAGAGAGTTTGGAAAGAATGTATCAAGCCAGACGCCGCAATCCTCGGTTCCATTTTTCAAAAGCAATCCAACATCGCATCATTTGCTTGATGTTCCACGATGAGGGAGAGTTCTGCGACTGGAGAGGCTTTCCCCAGCAGGGGAGTACAGCACGGCAAACTGGAAAGCTCGTCGACTGGCTCGGAGGCTCGACTTGTTCAATTAAGTGAACGGGAAAAACAAGATGAAGAATGAAATATACCAATGATTATTATCAAGAGAAAAGTGGTGCTGGTGAAGTTCGCCGTCGGAATGAAGGTGAGTCGTGTCGATGCTACCCGGCATTGTGCAGAAACAACACGTGAACAAACAGATGATGAAGAAGAAGAAGGACAAACTTAAGGGTCGACAGAAGCAGCGACCACGCATCGCTCCCACCACTCAACGGTAAGCCGAGAAGGCTTGTGTAACCACTCGGCTTCCGTTCAGCACGATTTGGCATCGGAGCTGATAAGGCGATCCAATTTCTCAGATCTCACTGCGTCCGTTGGACAGATTGCCTGGTTCCATGGATTCAGATGTGGAGGTAGCCGAGCGTGTCATCGGAACCGAATTCCGGAATACAGATCGAACCCCCTTCACTAATCGATTTCTCCGAGCCGCCTCGACTCATGAATCACTCCGCTGGCAGTTTGCGCTATTCGATCGTCGATTCCTCGGCATAGTGGATGAGTCGAATATCGATGGGAAAGTGGACAAAGAGGTCCATTTAGCATCGATGATCGGCTTGCCATCGAAAACCTTCATGCTCCGGCCATGCAGAAGACAGAAGCACAGCGTACGTATGGGCTGTGCCCGGAGAGAATCGACTTTGACTGATTCAGAAGAATGACAATGTTCTTCTTCTTCTTGACCCGGAGGAAATCGTCGAAAGGATTTGATTTGCTCCAAGCGAGTAAAAAATCTCGAACCCCCCGGAACAATGATGGCGTCAGCCTAAAAAGCTCGATCGATGTTTTTATGGAGTCGACAAAAATCCGCCATCTAGGCTTTGAAACATTAGAATCGCCCGACGAACGTGGGTTCCTGAATGCAGCGGCAGCCGGCCTGTCAAACACATGAAATTGATTCTGGTTGCGAAACTTTGCGAACGAAAGTAAAAGTTTCTAGTCTGACAAGGGGAGTGCCGAACATGTAACACGCCGATCGGGCTGAAACTTTGGTCATAGAATCCCCACCCCGAGAGAAGTTTAACCCTAGGATATTATCTGCGTATGGCCACTTTAAGGGTGTTTAAAAAATTTTCGAAAATCCGCCCTTAAGCATTGACTCTATGGGAATAATGGAAAATACTATGAACAATGGACGAATATTGGATCTGCCCGAGATATCCGAAGACATAATATGTTTTTGGATCGCCGGATTCAAATTTGGCGCATCTTCATGAGTCGTATCGACTCCCAATTCCTTCGAAACAGCCAAATAATTAGAGCCTTTCTACATAAACGGTATGGAGCAATTTATTCTGACGAATTCAGTGTACGTGGTAGTCCACGAAGAAGCACTTCACACATAGATTCTGCTTGCAATGTTATGAACGGAATTCATATGAAATGAATCACCGGAACAAACTTCGGTGACCGAGAACAACATCTCGGCGATACTCAGGAAGGGTATCTCCGGCACATCGAAGCCGGACTTGTACCAGCCGTACAACCACATACTTCGGAAATCAGGGTGCTGAAAATGATTATAGATGAGTGATTGGAGTCGAAGGACATCATCGCGGCGGTCGATGCGGCATCCGATCAAGCCACATGCTCGAGTCATTCGCTTCGCGAAATTCTTCTACATTTGGGAGCAGTAAACGTCCAGCGGCTGAATCAGCGGTGTTGACCCCGGCGGTAGTGTCTTAAGGCAGATTTCTTCGTCGTCCAGTTGGAACAAGCTCTGATCTCGCTGTCCGCCCCAGGAATCGAGATAAAGCACACATCGATCGACTTGGGTGCGATCCAGAACTTCCTTTAGAATTTCCTGACACCAGATCTTCATCAGTCCCTTGTTCAACTTCCCAACTTCCCAAACTTGGTGCAAGTTACAAACAGATTTTTGTATTCCGTTCATAAAATGCATACATTGCAAGCAGAATCTATGTATTAAGTTCTTTTTCTTAGACTACCACGTATGCTGAATTCGTCAGAATAAATTGCTCCATTCCGTTTATGTAGGAATTTGGCTCTAATTATTTGGCTGTTTCGGAGGAATTGGGAGTCGATACCACTCATGAAGATGCGCCAAATTTGAATCCGGCGATCCAAAAACATATTATGTCTTCGGATATCTCGGGCAGATCCAATATTCGTCCATTGTTCATAGTATTTTCCATTATTCCCATAGAGTCAATGCTTAAGGGCTGATTTTCGAAAAAAATTTAAACACCCTTAAAGTGGCCATACGCAGATAATATCCTAGGGTTAAACTTCCCTCGGGGTGGGGATTCTATGACCAAAGTTCCAGCCCGATCGGCGTGTTACATGTTCGGCACTCCCCTTGTGAGAGGAATTTTATTCCGCTCCGATAGATATCCGGACGACCATTTGCATGTATGATCATGGACTCCATTCCCGCCGGTTAAGGAACTCTCTTGTCGCGCATCTATAATCGTGGGATTTCTCGCAGCGAGAAATTCTGTACGACGACGTCCACATCTCTCGCCCCTCGCTGTAGGGTCAAAGCAAGAGCCGAAGCGGCTTGTAAACATTTTTTCCCGGAGATTTTTGCGAAGTCTTGAATTCCGCGAAATTTAGACCCTTCCTTACAGAGCCAGTTCACCCAAGTGGTCGACGAGAACTAGGAAAAATTACGAGAGGAAAACTTTTTCTCCCCGCTCTGGGTCCTCATTCTACGCTCATCGATCAAGTCCGACGGTATATAGAGCAAAAAACCTCTCATAACCAGCGAGAGAACCATTGAGACAGGCTGCTCTGGCCTCGCGCGGAGGAAAAAGCACTGTACTAGTGAAGGGCTATCGAGTAGGTTTTCCGTCTGACCTCTGGAAGTACTGATGATCCGAAACGTTCCTGTTCGTTTCGTTCCTCGATGGAGCCGGCTCCATACGCAATACGCGTGGAGACTGTACCGTAGATTCGATTAGATCGAGTTTCAACATCGCTTCCTTTCGCATTCAAGGTCAGCCTGAGGTCTGGACTGTCGGAGTAGCCGAGAACTCCGGACGGAAAGGACATCCTCGGCTCGATGTCTCGGGAGAAATTATTGCCGGCACCAACTCTCCACCAAGGGAGAAACCCTGGTCTTAGCAACGAAGTTGACCATGGATACCCGAACATTCCGAGCGATGCAAAGTTGAGCCGGAGCCAGGACTCCCCGTCGCGTCAGTTGACTAGGATCTCAAGAGTTACGTTTCTAGGAGTCTGGTCACGCCTCTCAGAGTTGGAGGATAATTTCACAGGAGGAGCTTTTTTTGCAAGCGTTCTCATTCGATCCGATGAGAGAATATACGGAAATAAATTCCTTGAGGATGGCTCCGTTCGGTTTTTTTCCGAAATGGGTCACGGATATCCACAGCAGGCATGATCATCAACGCGATTTGACTCGTTTCGGTGTCGGATGCGCCGTCAAAAATCGTATAAGTCAATCGCAAATGTCGCTAGTTCCTAGGCCTACCAAGGATTTGGCCTCTGGAGATTTCGACCCCAGCGCCTTCCGGAACCCCGCTACAAAAGAACGGGTCTTGAATCACTACTTCCAGTGTCCCGGGAGCAGGGTCGAGCTTAGCTCCAATCCCGAATTCCTGCCGAGTGTCCTGAGAGAAGACCAAAGCCAGCAGGGAGAGGGTCGAAGCCGGAGGGTTTTTCCAGGAACACGACCAGCTCGGGGAGCTTAATTATTCACAATGAGTACCGCGGTGTCAAATTGAGCTGCGGTCCTCTATGGCCAGGCGGAGCCGTCTGTAGACGGCCGGCACCGGCCTGTTGTGATGTAATAACTATCAACTAGATGTCGAGGGGCTGTGAAGGTCTGCAACCGACGTCCCAGCCGGAAGAGGCTCTTACCACAGTTCATAATGCAAGGGGCGCGTGTGGACACAGCACATCAGACCCGCATCATTGAGTCTCCAAGAGACCCAAGAATCTCAATGACACCGCATCTTTTGTTGACCGCTTCATAACCTTTCGGAATGTTGGGAGCGCGCGTAAACGGGACTTGGCCGC